GTTTTGTCGTTCACTCGTTATTCACGATGTAAATTTTTCGAGATATTTCTTAGACAATTGCAAGTGTTAATTATATATCTTTATAAGTAAAAATATAATTAATAACTGTGTAAAATAATTATATTAAATTAAAGTATGAAAAGCATTTAAACAAGAGATTTTTTTATTATTTGGGTATCTTTATTGATAGAGTCGATGGAGAATTTTTTATCTGCTTTTTTTTTATTCGATTTAGTATAATAAATCATTGCAACGTATGCGGCATGTTCCGGATGCACAATTTGTTTTTCTTCCGTTTCTAATCGCCTTACTCAATCATGACGCACGTTTAAACGAGTTTGATATGCGCCGTGAAATTGTCCGGCTATTTGTCATCTTCATGCCATCGCGCCATAACTTTATGCATATTCGATTATGTTGGGTGACCGATCTTAGGTCGAGCGCGTTTAACTCTCGAATTATTGACGTCAGTGTAATACCATATACAGGAGTTTAAATGCACAGTTTTCAACGATTGAAAAGACCGAGACTCTTTTAATATTATCACAATTTTATTATTGTTCTTGCCACACCTCCATATTAATTTATTTATTAATAAATTAAGCGAAATTATTGCATAATATTTTCGTATGTAGAAATGCCAGAAGTAACATTTTTAAATATCAAAAGAGAAAATTATTTATACATATATATAATAATTATTATGATTCGATGAATCAATTATTTTTTAAATATATTGTATTTTTCTATCTTGCTAAACTTAACAAAAAATCCCTGTTCAGTCCGCTGATTTATGAATCTGTGCACAAACAACGTGCTTCGCATCGAGCCTCATAATTTTAGATCGACTTCGAGACATGTGTGAATGAGTATGAGTAAGACGATTTCCGCCTTTCAGCAAGGAAGAAGGGCGTATTAAGCGTAATGGTCGGAAACATCAATTTTCATTAGGAGACGCATACCATCGCTGATATCCACCGGAATGATGGCGAATTGTTAAAAGGTTACACAATGTAATGCGTGCGCGTTCATTAGCGTAAGGTCAGGGCGCAATGCGTATCGTCGCACACTCCTGATACATGCATTCTAGTTGCATAGAACTTCAACATCTCTAAATCACTTAGGAAGAATATCTGAGTCAAGAATATTCCAAATGCGATGAGCTCTTAATTATTTTACTTATTTTTTTCTGCATTTTTTCTTATAGATTTTTATATTACATTTGTATATATCTTTAGAAGATAATTTCATTGTTTCCATGAACGTTTTGATTTTTTTGATTGAGAAATGATATGGTGTAACTCTAATAAAATTTTCACGCAAATAAAATGCGACGATTAAGAAAATTTGTATTCTATGAGTAGACTATTTAAAAAAAAAAAAATAAATAAGTATCGTGTATCGCGAGAATTAAATGATCTATGATCTTACGATTTTTCAATTCTAGTTTAGATTTAATTTTCTTATACTCATTGTTAGTTATTCACTGACAATGAGACGTATGTGTGAACTCGATTATTTGTTCGCTGCTTATATCATTTATAAGATAATTAAAAATGTATGTCAATTTATTTTCTTATAAACCATTCATTAATATTATATTTCTGTTCCTTTATTTTGAAATATCATGTATAGCTTCTGCCAAATTTAATTGAAGCTTTTCAATATTTAATTCTAAAATTTGTATGTCAATTTATTTTCTTATAAACCATTCATTAATATTATATTTCTGTTCCTTGATTTTGAAATATCACGTATAGCTTCTGCCAAATTTAATTGAAGCTCTTCAATATTTAATTCTAAAATTTGTATGTCAATTTATTTTCTTATAAACCATTCATTAATATTATATTTCTGTTCCTTTATTTTGAAATATCACGTATATAACTTCTGCCAAATTTAATTAAAGCTTTTCAATATTTAATTCTAAAATTTGTATTTTAATGTATAAATTTTGAAAGCTAAAGCTATTTCATAACTCTTCCACTTGAATACTGCATGCCTGGATGCAAGATATCAGCATTCATATGTATCGGTGGGTTGATAGCGTGTTGAAAGCTTGAGAAGCGCAGTGCGAGAAAACGATGTTGCAAGAAAACTGCGAGATAGAAGCATCACTTTCATCTAATCTCGCGTGCATTTGTCGAGCAAAACCGGCCGACGCCAGACTTTCCTGGTGATCTTAATGACTGATGCAAATGCGCCGTCGTTAAGCCTCGTTGGGCTCGTTTCTTCTCGCTATTTGCTTTTATAGCAACTCTCCGTAGCATCGTCGTTATTCTCTTTGTCTATAAGAAGCCGACGACGTTGTCGCGGTGGCGACGCGATTTCTTTCCGCCACCGCGGTCAATCGCGGTCGCGAAACAACGCAGCACTCAATGGGATCGTAAACACGCTTCTACAAGGCGCGATCGTTAGCTTTTGATGGACGCGTTTAGACGCATTTCTTCGCTCGCGGCTCACTGTTATTATATGCAGAAATGAATTTGACGAATAACTCGCTCGAGGACTCGAATCACGTGCATTCACTTACTTCGCTGCGAGCTAACCTCGTATAAATTTCTCATTTGAATTTCATCATTTATTAAGGGTAACATTGAATTTTGTGGAACATTGAAAGTCGAATTTTAATATAAGAAAATTGAAATTATTGCACTTAATTTAAATAAAATAAAGTATATATGCAAAATATATAATATACATATTCGTTATGCCTATAATAATTTATGCGACGTATATGAAATATAACAAAACAACTTTACAATATTTTATTATTAAGGTAAGACATATCAGATGAAAATTCTCGATGCTCATATTTTTCACGAATATGCTTCTTCGTACGATTATATTCTGCAATTTAGACTTGTATATTGTGCAAATGCAATATCTTGCGCTTGTATGTTACGTTTTTTTTCAGGCACTTTGATTGCGCGCGAATGAACTCGATTGACCCGAGAATCGATTTCTCACAACATGACAAATTCCAATCACGGTTTCGATTCGTCAGCAAACCGGAATCTTTGTGTCGGGAGCCGACGAATCCTCGAGTGATTGAAATATGCTGTTCTGTGAAAAATCGAGTTTGGTTTTCGATCGTTGAACACGGTGGCTTGTGTTTTGTTATCGGTTTTGTTGTTGCAAAAGAAATCGAAAATTGATGGTGCAATACTGACCGACACGTATAACGTTTAAATTGCAAAGTTTCGTATTTGCTTCTATAATAGAAAATTGAAGAAGAAACGTGATGAATTATATTAATATTACATATCAAGATAACTAATTTCCATATGAAATAAAAATACACATTTTTTAAAAATAAAAATAGAGATTGAGAAGAATTTTTTAAATATTTAATATTTTTGTGTTGTCTTTAAACTAAATTCGTTTTGCGTTAAAATTCGAAACTAATCAAAATTTCTCGATAAATTTAACTTGTAATGTTTTAAAAATATATTCTTAGCATTTCGTGATTTTTTATTCCGATAAAAATTATTTAGAATATTGAAACAGAATTTTACTCTTCAATCATACTATATGTTTGATTGAAAAATAAGATTGAAAAAATAACTGAATTATTGATTAGATGAATATTACATGTGGAACCTCTGTATGGCCGAAAAGATGAACAATTAGCCGTGACATCTTCTAAAATATATTTTTATCACACTCCTTATCTTGACTATACGAACGGTCGTAATTTTTCACTTGGATCTCGCCGCTCTTCCGGTCGCGGCAAATGACGTCGTAATGAACGGCGCGTGTTTTAGTTCCCGCGAAATTGCGGGAGCATTTCTGGAAAACGGGATGAGTAACGTAGCGTCGTCCGATCCGATCGGCTCATTCTCCTTATATGAATCATCGGCGATGAAATCATGAGAAGATCGCCGCGCATGTGAATCGCTCCCTACATCTTCCCTACGTTTGATGAAACAGGAATGCTTATTTGTCTTTTTTTTTATGAAATTTTGTTTAAGTTGATAAACGCGACATGCGGGCGGAAATCTTTTTCTTTTTTCTGACGGAACCAATCAAGACCGCGCGAGACGTGGCTCTCGTTCGTGATTCATATCGGAGGCTCTCGGGAAGAGAGACTGGATGTGTCAAGAGTCGCCTCGCGATCTCGCCCGAGACTAATTATCGCGGCTGGACGTGAATTAGGGACGTAAACCTAAACGACGTCGCCGCCGCCGCGATCATAAGCACGCGGAGCCGACGCTGACATTATCGCCGGCCTCGATCTCTTTCCTGCGCTCGTCTCTTTTCGCCTCTAAAGAGAGGAACAAGTCGGTCTCTTCACGCTCGAGCGAGGCAATCTCGAGCTCGTTATCTCGCGCGCCGCTGGAACGTGCGTCGTTTTTCGACCAATTTGCATCCGCAACTGCGTGTCGCTTTGCAAAAACCGTGCGAGGAAAATTCAACTCGTCATTTTCATATTAATCATTACAAATACATGTACGTGCGCAAAGATGATACGCTAGGATAAACTTTTATCGACACCGAGAATTTTATCATATTAATTGAAAAATATGTAAAATAGAATATAAAATATATAACATTATTATTTTCGGTAAAACTCTCTCTTCTGGAAATGTCTGAAGAAATAAAAAAAAAATTAATATTAAAATATTTTAAATATTTGTTTGATTAATGAACAGGAATAAATTCCTTTTTAGTATTATACAAAAATATGTATATATATGTATAAATAACAATAATATATATAATATATAATAAAAATAAATATAAATAAACATAATAAAATAATATAAAAAAATAAATTAGGAATAATCATGATATAAATGAAGGAAATAATACGGCAGATATTTTGGTCCACTTGAACGTCTCGGAAGAATCTGCGAAAGAGATCGCTATCAGCACACTCGCATTATCCTTCATCTCGCACTCTCCTCTCGAGAGGCACTTCACGCGGTCAGCGAGAATATTCGTCTCCTCGCGAGATTCGGGTTGCTGAATGTAAATTCGTGGCGCGAATAAAATATATGAAGAAAGCAACGCCCGGGGCTCTTCAGGTCGAGGTGAGCACCGACGAGGAATGGCGACAGTTATTGAGTCGCCCGGGTCTGATGATCGTGGACGTCTACTCGGATTGGAGCGGGCCGTGCACCGCGATGGCGAGTACCCTGAGGACGATCAAGATAGACGTAGGCGACGCGGTGGATTTCGCGATCGCGCGGAACGACGACATCGACGACTTGGCGAGATTCCGCGGCCGAAGCGAGCCCGCTTGGATGTTCCTGCAGGACGGTAAGATGGTGAACCTGATGTTCGGCGCGCACTGTCCGCGGCTGCGGAAGCTGGCGATGGACGAGATAAGGAGGGTACAGCACTTGGAAATTCCGAAGTGGCGGCTGGATGTGTGCGAACGAGCTCCCGAGGAGGAAGTTCGATGGCAGCAGCAGGAAGCCGTTAGGTGAAGGGAACAGAAAACTCGGAGTTTCTATCTTCGATCTTAATTCGTAATATATTTTCATCATTTTCGCAAACAAACTTCAAACTTTAATACGATAACTTCTGTCTAACTGCCCGCGAGATTTTTACTCTGAATGCAGAAAGAGACGATCCCACGATGTTGCCTCGAGATTAATAAACTTTCGCGGCTAGCTATGAAAAATAGAAGGAAACGTGAAATCGCGTATATACATATATATTTATGTAAAAATGGTCTTCGTAAAAAGGCGAGTGTTGGAGGAGAAGAAACGAGCGAAAGAAGAGGCCGCGAGGCTGGAAAAATACGAGCGATTCATGGCGCAAATGATGATCGAGTTATGCGAGAAAACGGTGCTGGTGCTTTATCCGTGGGTCTTCAAGGATGAACGCGGCAGACCGCGGGACAAGTGGCAGAGTCTGCCGTACACGGAACTGGTGCAGGATCTCTTCAGACAGTGTTTCGACGTGCAGGAAGAGCTGCGAATCCAACTGAACGAGGACATGATCGAGAAGATGTTCGTCGAGAGCGGCGTCGACATCACGAAGGACTTGATCAAAGGTGCATTACAGTAAATAAAACATTCACAGGGAACGAGATCTGTGACATAATAATAATTCAAATTGAATACTTAAAACGTCGCTAGTGGTATTTAAAATAGGAACGATATATTTAATTCGACCCAAACTTAGCCAAGAAAATTTTTTATTTTATTTCCACAACGTTTCGACCACATCGTTTAACATCAAAAATGTTTATTAATTTTAATTAATTGTACCATTCTAGTTTTTCATTTGAAAAGGACCAAAAACAGATGGTCGAAACGTTGTGGGAATAAAATAAAAATTTTCTTGGCTAGTTTGGGGGTCGAATTAAATATATCGTTCCTATAATAATAATTGACGAAATATTTCCACTTGGAGGAAAAGGAAAAAAAGAGAGGAACGAAAAACCGAGAAAAATGATATGCGACCGCACGATTCTTCAGGCTTGACCGATGGCAAGTGCATGGCGATGAGGCTGAAGGGCAAACCGCCGCATCCGGATTGGCCGGTGCATTATCCGTACGAAGGTCCGGAACGCGACTCGGTGAAATATCCGATTCGCATGATCGACGACGTCGAGAACTATCTCATCAGCATCGTCACGACGCAGCCGCTGCCACTTCTGCAAGCCGGAGTCGGCGGGCCTCTGATCAGACCGACGTACGATGTGCCTTACATCGAGAGACACGTACACGTGCACGCACCGGACCCGGAAATTGAGGGCGACACGCGGCGGGTTCATCCCGCCGCTTGGGTACCTCCTCATGTACGGTTTAATGATCTGTGATTCATTGAAGATTCATTCAAATCATCTATGGATTAAGAAATTACATTTTTTCATTCAATATAAATAAATATAATAATCACGAATTCGTTTGCTACAAAAATTAGCTTTCTTGAAAATTCTATATTAATTGAAGATTATAATTGAGATCAACTACACAGCGCACCAGATTGAAAAGTTACATTTTTTAATTCGATATCAAGATAAATAAATATAAAAATATAAATATAAATGAATATAAGAAATATAATAATCACGAATTTATTTGCTACAAAAATTAGCTTTCTTAAAAATTCTATATTAATTGAAGATTAATTGAAATCAACTACACAGCGCACCAGATTGAAAAGTTAAATTTTTTAATTCGATATCAAGATAAATAAATATAAAAAATATATAATCGTGAATTATATTTGCTATTATACAAAAAGTAGTCGCAGCTTGACAAAAAGAAATATTAGCCTCATTAAAAATTGATTATAAATTGTGTGAGATATATTTGACATTCGAGCTATTGCTCGCACAGGCTAGAAGCAAAATTCACGTCTTCAAGACTCTGTTTCCGGTTTACTTGGAAAAGACTCATCCTTACGAGGAGCCGACACCTTCTCTACCATTGTGCGCCTTCAAGTTTGAAGCGTCGAAATTCGGCGTCGTGCGAGACGCATATGAAATGTATCGCGATGCTATCGAACACTTTGGCGTTTTCGAGTTCGATCGACCACCTTATACGAGACGTCTCGCGTCCTCGCCCGAAGATTTCGAGAACAAGGTGTGCCGTCTTCCCTCTATTGTGATTTTACAACTCCGATCAAATTCGTCGCATTAATTAATATTTATCATTTTTTTCTGTCAATTTGATATACTACACTTTCGATAAAAAAATAATGGAGAATTAAATGTGTAATTCTTTTTCTACCGCAATTTAACGATACAATTCATGACAGAAAATTTGCAACGGATTAAAAAAATTATTTACGAAATAAGGTGAAGTACAAAACTGGCGTCGAGGTGTTCGTAGTGATAATTCGAAGGATCAAGGAAGAAGCTTTCTTAGCTTTCGCCAGCATCGAACCGTTCTTCGTGACAGCGGTTGATGAGGAAGCACAAGGAATGTTAACGGAATATTTCCCTGAAGGAGCTGAGGATGTGATACTATTAGAGCCAGATGAGGCACTTTATGAGGATGAAGAAGAAGAAGAGGAGGAGGAGGAGGAAGATTATGAAGAAGTGGAAGAAGAGGAATTTAATGAAAATAATGTTTACCCTTTCTATTGATACAAAAAAATTTATTTATTTGTTTTTATAATTAAAATAACTCTCGCGGAAATATTATATTTTCCAAGAACATATGCTTAAAAAATCATTAAAAAATAGATCTTAATAGACAAGTTCATTTCTTTTTAAAGGTTGTGTCTCCATAAGAAAAATAATGTATTTATAAATTGAAATGCTTTTTAGTGATAATATTTATAAAAGCGTGAAAGCAAAAATTCACGCGAGCGATAAGGTTAAAAAGAATTATGAAAATTTTTGCCATATGGAATGGTTCGTGTTCCACAACATTTACATTCTCTGCATGTTTTGGCAGCGATCGCCAACGTGCGACTACTCGCTGTGCTTGGCACAGCGTGTTTGCGTAAGTTTGGCGAAATACTAAATCAGCTGGTGGAAGTTATAAACGCAGCTATTCTGCTGCCAATTTTGATTCCGATTAAATCGCGTTGAAATACTCGTGAGAATATACACGAAAAAGTCATCTATATTATACTCAAAATATTTATTTTATTGATATTCAACATTTTTTTAAATTTATAATTTAATATCCTAATTTATAATTTTAATTTAATTTAATTTTAATTTTTATATATAGTTTACATTTTTCATCTATAATATATAATTTCTAATACGAAGATTTTATAAATATAAAATCTTATATAAAGATATTGAATAAATTAAATTATTCGATTCGCTTTAGTGATTCTTTCGCATATAGATACTTGTTAAAAAAAAATCTTGTATACCGTTATTATTAATTAGGACACAATCATTCATAAATGCTAGAATTCACTCTTTACACAAGATTTGCGCGTAATTTTGCAAAGATTGCATCAATAACGAATAAATTTCGTTTTGCGAAATAATTTTCTCTGCAATTATAACCGCGTATCCGATTTTTGGGAAAAATTGCTTTATATCATTCTTCTCATAATTTTAGTTTTTTATTAATCCTGTTGATAATGATAAATACTACAGGAACATTTATTTTCCATGATAAGTATTACTGAATTTTTTATCACTTTCGCGCAATCTGATTGTGCTCTTTAAGCGTCTTCTTTCCACGAACATAAAAAAATCGTGACTGGATTTTATTTGTAATAAAATTGCTGTAACATTTCGCGTTCAGAACGAGGAAAAAAGATTTGCAGATTAATCTATTTTTAATCACAAATTTATGATTATTATTTTGCATCTCGTGATCTTAACTATTATGTATATTATTATTACACTAATTTATTTAATGATACAGTTAATTAATATGAAAATTTTAATAATTTGCTTAATATCTAACTGATCCTTTCGAACATTATCGAAAGTAAGATTTAATGAAATCAAATATCTATTATTAATATATAATTTCTACTAATTTTATGTATTAATTAAATTGTATAGATGCAATCTTTAATCGAATTATTAATTAAATTTTTAATTTAGCAAAATAGTTTTATGGAACGTTCGTGGCATATTTTATTCCATTTTTTTCTTCATACATCTAACATTATTACTATATATATATAAGATATCTCAGGAGTTATGAGAAATGTCAAACGGAAACATAACGCGACGACATAAATCTTACCTCGGCAATGTCAAGCTCGACAAGTTGGCCGAGAAAGGAGGCATAAAACAGTGCTTCTTGTTCTTTCCTTTCCTTCTTTTATTCCCATCGTGGGACCGCCACAGTATTTGCCGCGGGCGGTCAATTGCTTAAATGCCGCTAATTATTGCACAAGCATTACATAAGTAAACAGCTGGATTGAACAGGTGAGAGAGAGAGAAGAAGCAGCGGAGAAGACAGGAAAAAAGACGCAATTTACTGCCACCGAGAGCAATTCACATCCATCACGCGTGTTACGTGCGATTAACAATCGCAATCCTCTCGTCTTCTCGCACCTTCTCTATTTTTCTCTCTTTGTGATTACATCGTTCTTCAGTTCCGTTCGAATAACACTTGAAATCTTGTTTTATTTCGTTTGTAAAAAAACATTCGTGAAATATATGAGCTTAGTTACACGCGAATAGTATTTTTCCCGGAATAAGGTTCGAAAATTTCTGGTACAATAAGATAATAAATAGTGAAGAAAAAGTTCTCTGCTCGAAATGATATATATGAAACGAAATAATTATTTATATATATGTTGCAAGCTTTTTGTAAATTTAACAAAACATGTAACCAAAATTATTACAAGAAGAAAAAAATAGTTTACTTTACACATAAATTATAAAATTATTATATTAATAATTAATATTACAAATGATAAAAAGAGAATATTACTATAACATGATATGCAAAATGTCGAAACAAGCTTAAATTGAAACTTGAAAGGGCGAGAAGCATCACGATCGAAAAGTACGGCCTTGGCCTGCTTAAAGAAGAATGATCTCCTGATGGAACATCTTTTCTTTATGGACAGTGACGAAATTTTCGTCGTAATTGTTCATTCATCACCGAATAAATAATTCATAAGATAATCGTGATTGATTAGATGACTTGACGCGTCCAGTTCGAAATTCGAATAATTTTGAGGTGAAAGTACAGGAATGATAAGAGGCGAATACTACGGCTTATTGTGTCAACAGACATAATCGTCGATTTAATCGTCATGAATAATTTGATTCCGGATTTTCTTTTTCCTTTTTTTTCTGCTAAAATAGCTTCACATACTTATTTGTACATTAGACATCTTGATAATGAGATTATAAAATAATGAAAAAGTATATTCCTCGAATTTTTAAAATTCGAAAATAATTGTTTTTTTAATATATTGAAATGAATAAATTAAAAATTATATTTAATACTAAATATTAATTTGCAATCATGAAAATTTTTCTCGAGAAAAAAAATTCTTTTTTTGGCTCTATTTCTATATAATTACGCGACACTTTGCACACTCGAACGCGTATACTGGAATATATATATAAATGCACGCCCAACTCGTTGTCGCCGTGCTTCCTTTTCGCTTTCCGCTTATCGTTTTCTTTCCGGAACATACTCGTCGCAAGTAAGAGCCGTCGTCGTCGTCCGGAATTAATGTCGTCGAGACGCCCGACCCTGATTCATCGACGCCTACTAGCCGTCTACGCTGTCGATCTTCCTGACAACCAGGATCCGCCGCGTAAAAATCCTCGGTTCTTGGAATAGATACGGAAAATGTCTCTGCTCGGATGTTCTTTTAAATAAATACTCAGTTAATTAGGGGTTGCCATATACAATTTATTATAATAAATAAATACAACTCACATATTATAAATAAATATATTAATTTTATAAAAATTAATTATAGCAAGAATTGACCTCTATTCATCGCGATACATCTGACACGTGATATATACGTATACGTATGTCCCATGCGTGTATTTATCACGTGTTTTTTCTCCGGATTTCGCCATCGATCACCATATGTCGCTGACCACGGCGGAATTCGCTTCCGCTCTAATTTCGTGGCGCTTCGTCGGAATTTTGTCTTGGCGAAAAAAAACATCGATTAGTATACTATTTCTTACACGTGTATGATTTCTTGACCTCTTTAATCCGATGCAATTTATCAAAGTCATTATTCGCGCCTTTCAAAAACCCCTTAGAGACTTTTCTATCGTGATGTTCGCGAAAAAGAGATTTTCTCGGAAAGCACGGTGAAAAATGATCACGTTTGTGTTTCTCTTTTAAAACATATCTGTAAAAAAAAGGTTACGGATGTATACGCAACGTTCTGACACATGTGTGGTTCGAGGAATGCATCGCCAAATACAATTTCACTTTTCGAATGAATTATACATCGTTCCGAGAAAAATTCTTAAACAAATTGAATTTTAAAAAAATTAAGTGTAAATGTCATAAAGAGCAAATAGATGAACTCTCTGTTTAATGAAGAATAATTTTTAGTTGAACCTTGAAACGTATGACAGAATACAAGTGACGTGAGCACGTTGCATTTTGAAATTGTGTATTATCAGTTAACGAATATAGATCCAGTATTTGCTATTATCTAAATCAGATTAGATAGATGATCATGAAACTTTGGCGTTATCTTTATCTAGATCTATCTATGATCATCTGATTTAGATAATAGCAAACACTGGATCTATATTAATCTAGCTGATAATACACAATTTCAAAATGCAACGTGCTCACATCACTTGTATTCTGTCATATCTATAGATATATTTAAAACAAAATCATCTTCATCTTACCTAATTGTAAGATGAATTTGCATATTTTTATCTCATCTTTAGCTAATTTAAAAATCATCCAAGCACAACACTATATAGATCACTACTATTAATTAAAAAAAAATTGCCTTCTTCGCTCTTTTTGAAATTACGGCTAGAAGGAATAATCGTACAAAGTCATACTTATGAATGCAAATTATATTTCACCGTGCTCGGCGATATCTCACCCGTCGTTCTATGCATGCTTGTACAAAGGGGAACACTTGTCACCCCGTATGTTCGCTCCGCTGACATTGGCGTTCTCGCGGTTAGATCGAATCGATCGTGCCGCGAATCGATCTCGTCATCAATTTACGGCGCGGTGGCCGGCCTCTAACCGACCCTACCACGACGTTCGTCCTGTCCAGCTTCCAATGATCGGCGTTCTATCCCTCCTCGGGATATCCTGCGATACATCCCTCGCGAGTTCGAAGGTCACCGGTAACAATCGCCGCTGTCCGGTGTTCCCCTGAAGAGAGGATCCCGTTCGTTTCGGTCCCCAGGAGTAGGGAGGCTATATATAACATCGCCGCCGACGCGCTCTCCTTCAGTATTCTCGCGCGCGTCCATCCGGATGGTACACGGACTGTTGCTCCCGATTCCCTTCGTTCGAATTCCTTCGAGTAGGTCTCTTCTTCGCGCTTCGACCGGACGCGTGAAGATAAGCGCGAAATTCTGGAACGCGCAATTGCGCTGTTTTTTATTTTGAAGCTGAACGTATTTCCTTCGACAGAGATAAGAAGGAAGAGACTGGATACGATTCTTTAACACTGAACCGACGACTTTGC